TACCCTGGCCTCTTCCTTCCACGGGGAGGATGGACGAGACCACCACTTGCGCCTCAAACTCCTTTATCCTTCTTCCCAGAGCCACATAGTCCGCAGTGATCCGCTCAAGGTCATTCTTGGCAGTATCATTGGTGCCCACGTGGAGAAGCAGGAAGGGGTAGCAATCCAAGGGCTTGATGAGTCTCGGCAGTCTCTCTGTCACATCGCGAATCTTAGCCCCTGGCAAGCAGCAGACTTCTCGGTTTTCCCGGTCAGAGCGGCAGATAGATGACTCAGTCCCCTGGAGGAGAGAATCCCCGACCACCACCACCACCTTCTCTTGGGAGTGGTGGTCGTGGAAGCCCCAATCTCAGGACAGTGCATCTCATGCCTCCCAACCAGCAGAGTCTCCTTCTGCTTTCTCCTCCCAGACGTATCATCTGGTCCACTCTCTGCAATGGTACCTGTGGACAGAACATGAAAGCGGTTAGTTACCCATGTCTGCGTTGCTGGAACCCGGAAATTCCCCCTTCTTCTTCTGGAGGTCACATGTTGCCAAGCTTCTTCACTGGCCTCTTGGCTCCGCTGTGCAACCTGCTCTAAATCTTTAGAGCTTTGTGCTCGTAGAAGCATATCCTGACTTTTGTCCAGAAAATCCTCAGATTCTCATATGCAACGCAGGGTCGTTATCTGTTGCTCCAGACCTTCAATCTTCTCTTCAATATGGAGACCAGCTTGCACTTTGTACAGACAAAGTTGCTTCTGTCCTCAATTCCTCAATACGGCTATCTACATCAATCCGTATTTCAATCACTTCCTTACATCAATCCATACTGTGAACCCCTCCACCCCATTTGATAAGTAGTCATGTCATTCATGAGTACACTGCATGGCAATCAACTCCCTACCCCTCCACAAGCACTGAAGCCACATACACCCATACAATCAATGAGCCCCATCCCCTCACCCACAAACACATTCATAGAGGTACTGTCCCCCCAGTTCCATTGGGCCATCCAAGTCCATAATGTGGGAACACAAAGCATGTCTGACTTCTGGGGCCTGGGTGCATCCAGTTCCAGTTGTGGTAGGTTTACTTTCTGGCTGAGTATCCTGATTCAGCAGCCCCTCACTGTCATGGGTCCATTCAGGAGGAAACAGCTCACCTCTGGCTTCACAAATGTTGTGATGAGCACAGCAAGCCACTGTAATGTGGACAGCACTGCTTACACTGGAATCCAAATGATTCTGTAGACATCACCAATGGGATTTCAATCTACCAAAAGCGGATTCAACAACCATTCTTACTGGCTGAGAGTGTAATTAAACCATCTTCTGCCAGGGCCTCTGAAATCAGCGTATGGTTTCATAAGCCAAAGCAAATGGAGGTACAAGGAGTCCCCCAGAATAATGGTGGGGACAGTAATTCTGCTTATGACAATGTCATTTGGTGGGAATAGCATCCCAGCCTGTCCATGAATGTAGACTCCTGATTGGCAAAACAAAAACAAAAACAAAAAAACCCCCTGGCAATGTGAACTTTTCCAGTGCAACCCACATTGACATTCACAGAAATTGACCTCTGTAGTCCACGAGGGCCTGCACAATGATAGTTTATGTACTCTCTGTCCTCCTAAAGGAGCATAAACTGTGGGCACATGAGTGCAATCAATGGCCACGCACAATATGAAAACTCCATTCTCTCAAAGCCAGCAGTTAATTCAGGAATATCTTTTATACTCACCTCCTTGAGGTAAACCACTTGACTGATTGCCTCAGAAACCTCCGCCACCACTCTATCTACAGTCAAACTTTCCAACACCAAACTGGTTGGCAGAGGGCCTGTAGTAATCCGTAGTAGCCAGCTTCCAGATGATTACAGCAATCCACTTCTGGATTGGCTAGGCCACTCTCATGCATGTGTCTTTACACTGGGAAAGTCGGGGCAAACTTCTTGCAAAGCTCTAAAAATGTAACTTTCCTCATGTTAAAGTTCTGGAACCACTGCTGATCATCCTAGGTCTGCATGATGATGTAATTCCACCAGGCTGTGCTTGTGGCCTTACTCCAGAAGCACTGGTCTATGTAGGGGGCACCAGTGGCTGTACTGAGTGTCATGAACAGCATCAGCCAGTTCGAGCCTTCCATGTCTGTGCCCTCCTCCTTCTCCATCATAAACTATGTTGGGTGCCTTTGGTGGGTCAGAAAACGCCATCAAAACGCTCCCAGCATTTCACGGATGCTCTCCCTATTTCCTGACACAGGAGTGAAAGCACAAGCAAAAGGCATCTCTTCCATGTTGCTGGCTCCAGCAGGTGGGGATGCACAGACAAAATGAGTGCTCGACAGGATGTATTGATGGGTCATTCAAACTTCCTGTAACGTGCAGGGCAGACAGTCAAGTTTTCCCACAGTGCACCATGGTCAAAGGGCTAGAGCAGCCACATTTCAGGAGGGTGCTTGGGAGTCTGGGATATGGTTGGTTTGACACGGGTCTGCATTCTGCAGTGTGGATGCCAGAGCGCCATGTTCCAGCCCAGGTTAGAAAATTCTTCATATAGGGTTAACAATCAGTGTAGACACTCAAGCCCTGGGTTCTCTAATCAGGGATCAGATGACTCAAGTCCCACAAGCCCTGGGCTCACATTGCAGTATAGATATGCCCTAGGACACAGCCAAATGATTAAGATTTAAAACTCTTGTAAAATAATTTGTTGGGATATGCAAATATTGTTGTAAACTAAAATACCAAGTTTATCCAGTTAACCTCCAAAAGGTTGGCATATGTTCCTGGAGAGGAGGCAGACCTAAACATTGGTAACAGAAAAATAGTGGGACTTAACTGGATTTAAGATTCTTAATATTCCAATTATTGGACTATCTTAAGACAGAAAAATGGCTTTTTCTAAATAAACTCACTTAAATATTTTCTTTGATTTCGTAGGGTTTAATTAAGATTGCTTACTTCACATAACAAACAGACGGTTCTCACCAATCCTCCCGCCCAAGCTTATGGAGAGAAGGGGAATTCTGCTCCCTATTTGCTAAGCTCAATGCTACAGAAACACTCCAAATTTTCCTTCTGCACCTCTAACACAAAGAAATTGAAAAGAGAGGCAAAGCTAGCTATGTAGCAATGGGGAGGATTTGCTCCTGTGAGTGTTTCTTTTGAACTGATCTTTTCATCTACATTAAGGGATTTAAAACTGACTATCTAGACAAAGTTTGGTACCCATGTTTTGCAGACAATAGCTCAAAACTGAAAACACAGAAAGGGATAATAATTGAGCTTTGCACATATCAGGGAGCAAGTTATTCATACAAGATTACTAACAAAACATTTTTATCAATCTTATTTTTGTTTAAAATATGAGGCAAAGAAATTAAATGCACAGCTAAGGAATGAGGGCTATTTAAAAAAACAAAGCAAAACACCACAACACAGTAGCTTGTCAGGGAACAATATAATATAGCTGCATTGTAAGGCCAGATTTCACATCTGCTGGGATGTTATACAATGTAGAGTATAAAATGAAAGTTGAACAGCAATGGGAACCTTGTTTTTGTGGAAAAGGACAACTGATACTTTAGGTTTAAGTCTATTACAGACTTCTGTGTATGTTTGATTCTACAGTTTAGTCTTATCAAAAGTTGTTTGTTTCTTTTTAATCAATACACCTTATACTGTAGTCTACTTGTCTACAAGTTAATATTGTACTTACTGAAGAAACAATACAACTTGTAACACTGTATGGTTTAAAAAGTTGAAACTTTTGAACAGAAGAAAGGGCAAGATTAAAAAAAGAAAGTGGGTGCCTACATTTAAGCTCCAGAATTTACACTTAGGAACCTAAAAGAATGGTTTGATTTTCAAGCGGTATTGAAATTCCCACTGAAAGTCAACGGGACATTTGCTTTCTTGGTGTTCAATATCTTTGGAAAAAAAAAAATCATGACACTTGATTAAGCTGCTAATATGGATTTGGAAGCCTAAATTTAGGCACCTGAAATACATGTATATGTATATATCTTGACCATGGATAAAGGACAATACTTTATTTCTGCATGGCTTGTTTCACCCTCTCTCAAAAACAGTAGGTGGACTGGTTATAATTAAAGTAACCTGAGAAAAGCTTTCAGTGTGTTTAAACCTCTCTGCCTTCTTCACACTATGCAGAACAATCAGATAGTACATTGGAAATGTTTTTCTTTCTACAATACTTCATTTTCTGTAGTTGTCTTGTGATAGTGCTGAAAAGATGTGTGTTGCCTTCGTATTCTATACTTTCACAATAATTTTCAAAGAATGGTGACGAGTTTGTACTTTTGTATGGGAACTGAATAGTCAAAGACACTTTAGAAAGGCTTTAGCAAGGGAGGGGTGGTATATAGAGGACAGCCAGTTTCAGTTCAGGTCATTGTCCTGCTAGCCAGCATGCTATGGAACAGCAGTTATGTTGTCTTCCATTCTGTTTGGATGAAAAAAAACTAGAGGAGGCACCAAAGGAAACTCAAGGGATTGGGAAGAAAACTGGTGAGTTCACAGAAAAAGGTTCAGGTTAAAAAAGGTATATAAAACAACAAAACCCCACTTGTTTCATTAGTTCTATCCTCAGACAATTTTTACTGAATAATTTTTTTTCTAAAAAGTACTTTTCATTGTAAAATAAGATAATTACCTCATTGGTTACAGTTTATTTGATAAGGCATCGTAACCTTATGTCCCTAATGACTGCAATAACACCTGCTGGTAAAAGCATATGAACATCTGAGTGCAAACAGAAAACCACTCATGACTCCATTACATTTCCTCTTTACAGATCAATATATGAGAACCTTATAGAGCAGTTCATTTCCTTTTGTGGAGCAAAAGTCAGCATGCTTCACAACAAAAGGTAGATGTAACAAGCAGCTTTGATACCTGAATGTAGTTTCTCAGAAAGGAGTGAAAAAATAAATGCTTTTAAAAAAAATACATTGACCTTCATTACTTTTTTTTATAGAAAATGAATCATACTCACATCATTTGTTTTGAACTTTTCTCTATAGGAATGTATGACCCAATCTACCAGAATATTTATCTGTTTGGTAAAAAGCAGAGAGGTTTCACTTCCCAACCAAAAGGTCTTCAGAAGAACTGTCTGTGGCATAACTTGCAGAAGCTGTGAATTAGCCCCTTCACATAATCTATAGAAGAAAAAGAAAAAGTGAACAAAACCTAAAGCTTTATGCCAATTTGATTACTATAGTTACTAGACAGATAACACGTCTCCTGTCAAAACATACAAAGGTTTGGAAATTTTTAAGCACAGAAAGATCATACACAATTTTTGATGAATAATATATGTAAAATGATGACAGCCAAAGTGAAGGAACTCAAATGTTGTGTTAATATTATATAAATATAATTACAGTTGGAACAAAAGGAAAATTTTTACTTTATAAGGCAATCATACATACATCTATTCATTTACATTAAATAGGGAGGATGAGATAATACAAGTGCTTACAGATTAAAAAAGACAACATGTATGCTGTATGTTCAAGGTCTTTCAATTAAGAATTTGCTGGGCAATAAAAAAAAATCTAAGAACTGCAAAGCTAAAAAACTCACCCTTATGAAACAAAATTAAACACCTATCCACACACGTAACATAGTGGGAAAATAATATGTAAAAAAATTAGTCAGAAGTCTCCATACAAATATCCAGGCAGAATATTCTTTTAACATAATGAAATCTAGTTATAAACAGGCAAAGAAATGAGAGATTTCAAAGGAAACATTTAGCAAGTGCATGACCAAATACCACTTGCAAACCTCTATGAGGACTGTATCCCATTTCAGAGACAACGAGCATAGTAAAGACAGAGTACAATTCCGTTGTGGATTGAGAAATGGGTTTGAATTTTTCAGCAGCACCAGAAGTAAAGTAAAGTATTCTCCTATAAAACTTACCTTCTTGTTAAAGCCTGTACTTCAGCATTCACTAAATTAAAGAAAAACTTGAGTAATGCTTTGTGAACCACCCTCTGTTCACTTATTTTTTCTGAAACAGAGACTGCATGACAAAAACCTTTGCAGTAAAGGCAAGATCTGAAAAATAAAGCACCAGACAATCTTTAAGTTTGAAATGATCTACTGACTAATCAATGCATGATGCAATTCTGACATTTTAGTTCCGAAATTGCAGTAACATAGTTGTGAGGTTTTGTAAATGCAATCAAATCAGCAGTTCAGAAATAATCATAATTAATAAAATGACAAAACATAGTGACCCTATTACAGGTGTCACACTTGAACATGAAAGTGAGAATAACTGAAGGATTCTTTAAACTTGGTCAAAACTTTGCTCAGGATGAAACTTGCCATATACAATATCAATTTAGGAGGGAATTTCTCTATGTCCAGATTAAAAATATAAATTAAGAAAGTTAGTTATTTGTGCACAAAAGTTGAACTTCACCAGTGTACGGAGGGCCAACGCAAGGCACTACTCATGTCAGTTCTATTTTGAAGCCTTTAGTAGAATTTAAGTAATGCACAGGCCTTGTGCTGGCACAGTGCACAGAGTGAGTCCTACCTAAATTAATTTTTACTTAAAGGACATTAATTTGTGTTTCTAATATATTGTAACTAAATGTATATTTACATACCAATACCATTGATGACTTAAGGCCAGATTTTCAGCAATTTTTAAAATATATATTCTGTGCTGGCATGGTCACTGATTAGGTGTTTGATCTCATGTGTTATTTTGTGGAAAAAAAGCTTTAATGAAAGGTGCATGTTATAGTGTGAGATAAATTATTGTTGCATTTAGCACATTTCCTTGTGCACTGGAGAAGGAAGGGAATTCCTTGTGGAGGGGCAGAGTTCTTGTATTTAATAGAATATTTATAAAAAGGCTTTAATTCCAAAAGATTTCCTAGCACTTTGGAAACTACAGCATGATCCTGTAAACCTTTACTCACATGAGTAAGAGTTTCCATGATTAGATCTTATTTGCATATCATTTTACCCACGCCTTGATGAAACTTCATAATTTAACAACATGATGAACTGTTTTAAGACAAGAGCAGAACATCTTTTCTAGTTTACATTTTTGGAGGAATTTGACATTGGCAGAGTAACTACCCTTGATATATCCAGCACTGATTCGTTTTGTGTTTTTCTCCAATTAAGTCTTCTGCCAAAGGTTTGAAGAGCTCTATCAACAATTATATTCCCAAATCTCAGATATTTTTTAGCATCTGAACATTGATGGGTTTATTTCTGGTTTCTTTTTGAATTAAAACCTCATTAGCATAAGTTTCCTACATTGAATTGTATAAGCCACCTATTAGCCCAATGTCCCATGTCTGTTCATGTCATTCTGAGTTTGAGTGCCTTCCTTCTCTGTTCAGGATGGTTTGATAATAAACCACCTGAGAACAGTGCTTTGCAAAGCATTCCTATACAAAATTGTTAGTTGTCAAATTACACAGATTCAACTTTTTCTTTTTCACTCACCCTGGAAAGGTTACTACTGGCCATGAGTGAGTGGCTTTTTCAAGCCCTGCACATAACATATGGCTTTTAAATTGAGGGAGTTGCCTCCTCTTTTTCAACCACCCACAGAAAAAGAAAGCACACACCAATCTCTTTTCTACCCATCATCAGGATAATCATTTTAGTTTTCAACTGTCTTCTCGGTCTGTAGTTGAAAGTATGGTGTATCAGCTTTGAAATGCTAGTATTAAATTATTTGACTGAGAGGTAGGAAAACATGAACACATCAAGGACTCCCTACAGAGCCAGTGCCTTGGTGTGCTACAAAGCTAAGGCACCAGCACCTGGCAGCTCAAGCTCTTATGGATTGCCACAGTGACTTAGCTCCCCACCCCAGGCCTGCTGCAGAGTCCCTGTCTACCTACGCATAACCTTTCCAACTCAAGTCTGAAGTACAATCCCACCTTACCTCTGTCCCCAAAACTGCTATTCATCCTCCTGGTAGCTCCCCACACAGTGCACTAGGAAGGTAAGAAGGCTATGAATACACAATATTCATGTCTTCCCTGCAAACCTCTGGAAGAGATTTCCACACTACCCAGTTGTAGCCATGGTGGATGGGTTATGCGTTTGATTGTGATGTAGAGGAACTGGGTATGTGCATTATGGCTGGCTATATGTTAGGAAGTACGAGGGAGTTTGCTGGGGAGAGAAGGAGTCAGTGTGCATTTGCATAGTATGATGACTGGCTATTAAAACAAATGATAAAGTCTGCCTTGGACTTGTGATTTCATTGAGCTTTAATAATGGAGGAATGTGCATTTTAGTGACTTCCTTGTAAGTGAATGGAGTTTGTATGCGAGTGTAACAACAGTTTATACTTACAATGGTTTCAGAATATGGAATGATATATTTAAACAAAAAAATCCTATATGCATTTCTATACTGGTCAACATTGCCATATTAGAGTACTTAAATGTTAAACTAGAGAAGATATCACAGTGATGAACTGAGGTGCAGTCACTCTTTCCAGAGATGAAATTAATCAGTTTCTGTTCACAAAAGTCATAGAAACCTGAAATTCTCCTTTTATCAGGTGGAAGCACCCAAAAGGCTGCTGTCCTGAGTCTTGTGTTTGTATAGTGTATTAAGACCAATACACAAGTTTGCAAATTTCATGCTGAAAATGAAAATATAACATGAAACTGCATATTTGACAAGATAAGATTTATACTGTTTTATTTGCAGCAAAATAGATATAAAAAGCACAGGTTTCAGAGTAGCAGCCGTGTTAGTCTGTTTTCACAAAAAGAAAAGGAGTACTTGTGGCACCTTAGAGACTAACCAATTTATTTGACCATAAGCTTTCATGTGAAGTGAGCTGTAGCTCACGAAAGTTTACGCTCAAATAAATTGGTTAGTCTGTAAGGTGCCACAAGTACTCCTTTTCTTTTCGCGAAAAGCACAGTAGTAATATACATTGATCTAGATTGTCAAAAGCCACACAATATACAAATAATTATCCTGAAACATTTAATATAGAAATGCAAAGAACGGGAGAAACAAGAAGTGTATAATTTTTCTCTAAAGTGACAGCCATTTTCAGGGAGTTCAGATTAATTGAAATTTATAATAAAAGTTCTGAAATGTACAAATGCTATTCTAGTTATAGAAAACCTTCACTTACAATGAACTAATTACAGTACATTGAAAAAGTGACTTTCGTATAATAGGGCTTTATATGTAAATTCTATAATTTTTAACTAAGGAGACCTTTTTCTGAAAAAGTGTGATATTAATTGTTTCCACTTAGCTAAGCTTTTAGAGAGAGAGAAGCCCCCAAACAAGAACATACAAAAACCCTTTCCAACTGCTTCTTACCTCACAAGCATCTCTACCAGAGACCATGTTCCTCTCATGCAAATAGGACACTGAAGAAATTCCAGATAATATCTTAACATCGAGGGAGACTTCCAAGGAGGATCAAGTTGAAGAAGAATATACAAGATGTGAAAAAATTTAGCAGAGAATACTGTGTCTGTATTTCCCTGTTTTAAAAATAAGAAATAAATATTGGTTCTGTACTGGCCAAAGACTTAATAGTAAAGAACTTTTGTGTTAGTCATACTCCTCCTAAATTCAAACTCATCCAAAATTCAAATTCACAGATGACAAATGTTAGCTTAATATCATGTGGGAAAGGGAGAGAGAGGAATATATGAGGCAAAATATTGTAATTTGCATAGAAAAGGGAAAAAATAAGCGTAACTTGAACCAAAAATGGTATTCAGCTCTGATATTAACTCATTTATACCAGTGAATTTTCTCTCTTACAGAGTTGGGAATGATGCAGTGTAAGTGTGTATGCAATTGCTTTATATATACACCCTCCTGCTCATTGCCTTGCCTGCAAATACCAATTCAGACCTGTGTATGTGCAAGTCACGCTCGTTTTGCAGAATCACAATACCAAAACAGTGCAAGTTACACCATTTGATTAATCCTGAATTTTCAATTCTTTTCAATTCCGACCTGTTTCCTATTTCCAAATTATCTTTATGCTATTCAGAGAGACCAAGATTTCTATTGCTGCCAACCAAAGTATTGGAAAGCCTCAACCTCACTGCTTACCCTTCCTTTCTGTAACTGTTTTTATATTTACATATAAGGACAGCATTTAACAATAAGATGGGTACTACATTAATAGGGCTTATGAAAAATACTATTTGGTTTCTGATTGTTTTCAATTATTTAAATAAATTATACTGGAGAAAAAGTTGAGAGAGTGCGAGTACATGCACAAGTATTTCACTTTTATCCATGGACATTCCCCATGGTCTTAGAGTGGTTATCCTTATATACACTATAGTCTCAGTTGATACAAACATGTAACTTACTATATAATTTGTTACCTGCATAAATGTAGATAGTATAGTCCTAAAGGAGGTAATGTTGACAGTATGAAAAAGACGATATTTATTTGCTCAATCTGAATGAATAATTTTCTGTCTTGCATGGTATGCTGGGATCTGACTCTTTCAACAATATATTCACAGTATATTCTGATGAAGTAGTGGTTAAGGGAACATTGGTTAAAGAAATCATGGATGAAGACACTCTTTTTTTAAAATATATTGTTGGTATCTGATTAAGACCATGTTTTTTACATTCCCTCCCCTGATTTAATACTGCGAAAGACCAAGCCTTTAGTTCTCACCTGTAGCATATGCTCTAGAAGAGAATGAAGAAGTTGCACAGGAGGGATGGAGTATTTTTGAGTAGCAGCAAGTTCTGTGATTACATCAGTAAAGAAATGTCCTTCTACTAGTCCTTCAAGTATACACAATATACCTCTGGAGAGGTCAATAGTTTTAACCTAGGAATGGCAAATATTTGTGAATAACTGCATAGAAGGAATGGCTAAATAAAAGATTTATAAACATAGTTCTTTCTTAAAAGAAAAATGAGAACCAACTAAAAGTTTAGTCCCTTTAGATACAAAAGGGAAACATTTATGAATCTTTATACAAAATTTCTTTGGCCAAAAAGTATGTATATACTTTTGTTCATCATATAACAAGGTAAGAAATTGTTTTAAGATATAGAAAACAACAGTTCTAATTTAAAGTAATTACTAATTTATAGTGCAATCCACTGATATGCTGAATGTCTTCTGCAAGGACCTCACTGCTCCTAACCGCTACTATTTGAACTCCCACTAAAAGCACTCAGTACCTTGCAGGATATGCTTATCATCTCAGGCGATTGAGTCATAGTATATTATTATTTAAGCCCCAGCAATTTACTGTACTTACTCTGAGGTCTCATCTACACTGGCACGTAGGGTATGCATAGTTACATGCTGCAGTGAAGCGCAGGCAGTGTCCACACTGCAGTGTGTAGCCACACATGGCAGTGAAAGGCTCTGATAGGGGGGAAAGCAGTGGGTAGCAGCCAGAACCTTCACCCACCACAAAGAACTGCTCCAGCAGCAGGATGCTACACTGCTAAAAACTGTAGGGCATGTAGGAAGTCATGTAGGGTATATACCCTCAGGTTCTGGTGTGTCTTTACTCGCCTAAGCAGCGTCTCACTGTCTACACTTTATTTATACCTGTGCTGGGGTTATACAGAACATACTGTACATGCCACTGTAAATGTAGACATAGCCTAAGGGTATATATTGTAGGAAGTCTTCACTCTTTCGGGTGTGCCTTCTGAGAGCTTGGTAGAAAACTTCCACAGAATAAAATTTCTAAAGCCATGGGGTGCCTCACATAATCACACCCACAATGGAAACCACAGTGATTTCCAATGCCTGCAACTGTCAAGTTCCTTTCTGGGAGAGGTGAAAAATTATCAACTGAAAAACCTGCTCCAAAAAACAGATCCCTCAATTCAGGGAAGATGATTGGATAAGTGCTGAACTATATGTTACACCTTCAGAAATCAAGAATTACAGGTACTTACTTCTGTACCACATCCACTCAGTTGGTCTATTTGAGTAGACTTCTGTTTCACAGTCTGTAAAATAGAAGTAAATCAAGGGCATTCATGAAAACCCTTAGGTTGGATACTGACAAAATACTACATTTAATGACCAGCAAAACATACATCAATGTTAAAAAATATTTAACCAGTGGTTAAAAAATAAAGGCAAATTTAACATGGAGATCTAATTAGTTCTCATTTTATAGAAACCGAAGGTATACTACTTATGAAACTTTTAACAAGAGTAGGCTTCTACAAGAGATGCCCTGCGTCAACAATAATCTGGGCAATTTCATTCTTCAAATTTAAATTGTCCTGCAACTAGAATTAATGCATTATTCTTCACTTTTTGTTTTAAACTGTTGCTATGTGAAGACAGGGTCAGTTTAAGATACCTAATTTGCACTTAAGCATACTCTTAATTTTCTTTTCTTTTCTGTTTTTCCAATGGTGAGATGTTGTATATACACTGGTGTTTATGACATAAAGTGCTTTGGGAGCCTATGAAATAAAAGGAACTAAATATAAATGTAAAATCATTTTTACATCCAGGTAGGGGTCACCACTATGGTCCTATTAAGATACATTACAAAAAACTGCACCTTTAAAAAAAAAAGCATGCCCCTCTGGGAATGCCAGCCTTCAATAATCCTCTTGGGCACACACTCATCATTGTGCATAACCCTTTAGTAAACTATCCTCTCCTATCATAACCAGGCATCCACCGAACATCCACAACTACTAGCACTGGAGGGAAAAAATAGTCGGGCAAAGAGGTGTGTACGAGGAAGGAAAAGATGGGGGCAGCGGTACGGTTGCAGTGAATGGTCTGTGATGTATGGTAGTTAATAAATCATGTGCCTGTGGGTAGAAGAGCATTGGATATTTACTGTTAGAGGGTTAAATTTTTATTCCTTGCTTTTGTGAGTGTGGCAACTCTAAATTGACAACATACCTCACTGCATAATAATACAACAAGTATTAATAAATATCATGGACCTGCTCCTGAAGACCCTTTTATTCATAAGTCTAAGTTTACAAACGTGTGTTTGCTGTATTAGGGCTCACATAAGAACTACTAAATAACAATCAGTATATTATGCTGGTAATATATTCTGTACTGATTCAAGACAATTAGTTGTTCATTTTTCTAAATATGAAATAATGCCCTCACTTCCTAATGCACTTCATGATTAAATCTGTGATATTATTAAAATGGTAGAATGCATTAAGTTCTATTCTCCCTAACATGAATTCTTATTGCTGTGTGGAATGTTTCATAATGCTCAGCAAAACGTTGCTCGTTTAGGGATATCTTTGGTTTTGAGAAGAACATATAAATATAGCTATTTAAAGTTCAGACACTGAAAGACTAAAAGCCAGTCCACTGTTTTGTGAGACAGTTAAAAACCAAAATGCAATAAAATGACCAATTAGCTATCTATGGTATTACCACTGATATTTCATTTAGTCCATCATTTTTTTCACTAAACACATATAAAACAATCACCTAATAATAGAATGGACCTTAGTTTGGTAATAAAAAGATAGTATTGTACTAAATACAGTATAGAATTTGTAAACTTTACAAATTACAATATATTGTTACAATTTATGCAGATGTTAAGAAATCTAATGTTATCTTTGTTACATTTGTGTTTGAAGGGCAAATATACCTAGTGAGAATTTTATTACATTTTTATAATTAAAAGTTTGTACAGTCCTGGTTTCTTCCTTACCTGAGCAAAATATATATGCTTTATTAATGCATTTTTCATTTCAACAAGTTGCATGTCAGACATTGTATCTCTGGCTTCTTGTTCAGCTAAAAGATGATTCATCTGGTTATCTTCAGTAATATTTTGTATTTCATTCTGTGAAGGTCAAAAGATTTAAAACTTGTATATACAGAGACAGCTGTCTAGAACAACTCTACTTACACCTTTTTTCTCCTCTATAGATATTTTTGCATATATTTTTTATAAAGTTTATAAAATTATTTTGGACTAAAATAGGGGGTGAAATTAAAAGATAATTATTCCTGATTAATTCTCTGTGGACGCTCTTATTTTGAATTAGCTTAATCCAGGGGTTAAGGAACTCTTATTCCAAAATAAGAGTGTTCACACAGGGAGTTAATCAGGAATTGTTATTCTGGAATAACTCCTTGTCTAGAAAAGCCCCAACTTCATAAAGGGCAACAAAATACGATCAGATGTCAATCCCTTCCAGTGGCTGACTACCAGTGACGAAGCTCAACTGGCAACCTACAGTTTAAAGGTGTTGGGTCACCCTCAAAGTTAAGTATGATAGAATTATAATTATGTAGTAGTAGAAATAAAGATAGATAAAAGGTATAGGTATTGCAAAAAGTTATGAACATCAGTTCCATGCTGTTGAATTTCATTCTGTAACAAATGCAAGGCCAAAGTGCTAATTATTTCAGGCTGGTACAAGGAGTGAGCTAATAAACTATGCAAGGAGATAATAAGAATGGCCGGTACAGCACAAAGAGTCTGTGCTGGAAAATGATAAGAACTTTGAGAAACCAATGCTGTTCTTTGAAGCAACACCCTGACCCTCTTCCCCCATGGGGCCCCTTGTCATGCCTATGTAAATCTTTGTATCCAAAGAAGGAAAAATAGTGGGATGAAACTTGTTAAAACCAAAAGAGTCATGAGACTGTATTGTTAAGTAAAAGAATGAATGATGAGTGCACGGAATTGAAAGCCTGAAGCAGGGAAATAATTGGTTAGTAAATGGTGCCAGCCTAATCCTAAGAATTACAACCTTGGTATTGATGGGCCGAAGAATATGCAGGGTGGAGATAACCAGATGACCCCCAGAGGGCAAACCGGAATTCACCCAAAATGCATCAAGGAAGAACAAGAAGATAACACCTAGCCGTCATGGATGTACCATCTGCTGATTGATGGTCATCTCAATTGTAAATTCGGCATGATGAAGCAACTTCCATAGACTTGTATTGAACCAGAGACCTATAAAAATTGGACCCAGGGACTGTGTTCTTTGAGTCTGGTTCTGCAACCACCCTCCAGGAGCATCGGACGCGCATCTGACAAAGACTCAGCTCCACTCTCGTGTCCATGCCACCTGGCCAATGACTTGGCACGAGCAACGTCTAGGCTGGTAACCATAACAACCTCTTTGCAGAACCTGTGTGAATGGATCTATATAGAAATTGCATATAGTAATGTTTTGTTGTATTTACAATAAACGTGGCATTTTGCCTTGTCCCTCTTACAAGATCCTGTTGGTATCATTTTTATTAGTGTAACATAGGTTCCATATCTTATTAACCGGTACTCCAAGTCAGCCAGTCCTTCTAGGTCTTAAACTCTTCTCTTAGTAGAATCACAGTCTAACTACACACTGCTCCATACACAGGTCTTTTGGCAAAGCTACAATTTAGTCCATTGTTATAAAATAATTACAAATTTAATTAATTAGATACTGTATAATATAGGGAAAATACATTTCATAAAGATTCAGTGCATGATTTTAACCAAATGTTAATTATTAATTTTAACCAATCGTTTAATCATTAATCCAATCACCCTTACTGTTCAAAATTTATGCCCAATTTCTGATTGAAGCCAGACAAATTCTAGTTTCCAGTCATAGATTCTTTTATGCGTTTCTCCACTAAATTAGAGACTTTTAGACCCAATATTTTCTCCCTATGAAGGTACTTATACACTATCATCAAATCAACTCTTTTTTTTTTTTGGATAAACTGAACAGACTGAGATCTTTAAGTCTCTCACTGTCAGGAATTTTTCCCAGCCCTCAAAAGTTTTTGTGATATTCTTTTGTTCCCTTTCCAAACTATCAATATCATTTTTTAAAAACAGGGATGTGAGAACTGGAGGCAATTTTACAGTATAGGTGTCACCAATGCCACATCAAGAGGTAAAAATCACCTCCCCTACTTATACATCCATATTAGCCCTTTTTGTCACAATATCACACTGGAAGTTCATGCTGAGTTGCATGTCTATTATGACCCCTACATTCTTTTCAGAGTCACTGCTTTTCAAGATAGAATCCCCTGTTCTGTAGATCTGGCCACATTCCTTGTTATTTGATCACTATTTGAATTTGACATTAGCTCTGAAGGAGTAATAAACTAGGGCTCAGTCCTGCAAGGTGCTGAGCACTCCAGCACCAATCCTGCTGTAACAAAGTGGTCTGCCCTGTTTAAGAGGTACTGGGGACTGTGGCCAGCCAAATTCTGTTCCAGGAGCTCTGGAGCAGATGCTGAGGAAGAGTAAGTGGTCTTGGGGTAATAGTTAAGAGCCTAGGGAAACCCAGGTAACTGTATCTTTAAGAGACTGGGACCTCGTGGTTTGGGTGGGGCAAGGCTCCCCTTCCTTTCAGCCAACCAGGACAACATCTGGGGAAAGAAAGTAGTAAATAAGGTGTCTTCCCTCATCAGAGAAAGAGATTCAGAGAGCAAGAAGGTTCCTGCAGGAGTCTGTGAGACACATGGTGAGAAAGGACTACAGTGGTGTGACCTGGCCTCCACGCAGTGGAGGGAGGCAGGAAGACTGAACCCCAGCAGAGATGCATGGAGGAAGAACTATTATGAAGGTTTTGTTTTTAGTTCTGTTTCTTGAAAGACTGTTGCCAGCTGAGGTGGAACCAGTGCAGAGCAATTTAAAGAGAGAGGGAGAAGCACAACACAAGCCCTGGAAGGAAAGTTGTATATTCCCTTAGCCAAAAGGGAAGGGTTTGGGTCTGCAGGGTCACTGGAAACTATGTGGAAAGAGTTAATATGTTAGACTCCAGAAGGGGATTCTTGTTTTAGATACTTCTGGTGGTGGAAAGTTACTGGACATTGAAGGTGGGGTGCCTACAGGGCCATGCCCTGCCATGAAGGGGTGTTCTGGAGATACCATCCCCGCTACTTCAGCAAAGCACTCAAATGTGTGCTTAACTTTAAGCATGAGAGAAGTCTTATTGGCTTATGTGCTTTTCATCAAGCACGTGTTTATGAACTTTGCTGATTTGCCACAGTGCCAAGTAATAGAGGAAACTGAGTTCATAATGACCATCCCATAGGAAGCTTTAATGCAAAATTCTGAAAACCATAGTATGACTTCAGACCACAGTGCAAAATAAGATTAGTGTAAGTGTACAGCTGTCACAATGTCAAGTTCAAGCCAAATGATTTCAGTTCAAGTGTGCGGAGATGGCATTACAATGTCAAAATGAAACCAAGTAATTTTAGTGATACACTGTTTTAAGAAGGATAAGATTCAGCCAAAAACAAGATGATAAAATGAAGGTCACTTGCCTGTAAGTGGAGTTCTTTAATGTGACTTCTGCACATGCACACTCCTGGGATGCACGGACAGAACCTTTTAGTAGCTCTTATGCCCTTCCCTCACCACTCACTGTTCCTGAATGTTCTAAGGCTGAGGCTATAGAAGGGAGTGCTGTGCTCCAGCAATCTCTGTTCCTTCTATGACCTCCTCACATCCCCTCTTCCTCCGAGTCTTCACTTCATTTGTGGAAGGAGGGTGGAAAATGTAAATATGCAGCAGTATTCTCAAAGAACGCCAGTTCCAACAGTTCAGAAACATTGATCTAACTTAACTAGACTGATTGGATAACTAGATAGCTAAGGTGGTACTGAGACCAATCCGTTCCAATAAAGCCAGGTCCGAAAGATCCAGTGAGTTTCCTGATCAATCTGCTGTCACAGTTAGAAGTAACAGAAGCCCCTGAAGTACAGCACCCCCTTTTATAGCCTTGCCATCAAAATGTTCAGCGACAGAGAGGGGAGATGCCGGAGGGGGGCAAGGGTGCTCCAACAGGCACTGCTATTCTGAAAGAATGAATATGAATAGGCTACTAAAAAAGAATTCTCCTTTGCAAGGCCTTTAAACTGAGTCTGTTCCCTACACCGGTCCTCTATTTATTTGTGATCTAACAGACAAAATCTAAGTATAGGTTTCAGAGTAGCAGTCATGTTAGTCTGTATCTGCAAAAAGAAAAGGAAGACTTGTGGCACCTTGTTAGTCTCTAAGGTGCCAAAAGTCTAAATATGTCACAGTTTATAACCACTTAGATACTTGAAAGTTCTCTTAATAAAATCTCTCTCTGTAGCATGCTGGTTTATCATTGTAAGGTTGCATATAAATACCACATTAGATTCCTAGCATGGAAATATTCTGCATCCTTTCTTCCTTACATATCATCTTCCTCTAAGCCTCATGCTGTGGCCACAATTTTCCCTGGCCTAAAAGGACTGGATAACTAACTCCTCCTTGGGACAAATAAGGCAGATCCTAATTGGACTACAGAATCAATCCAAGTCAGCATGGAACACTCCCTGCAGGAGTCCAGGCTGTATCCAGCTACAACAAAATTAAAGGGGAGTTCTACCATTGGCCTCAATGGGAGCAAGATTCAAATGTACCATGTTCACTTCTTTTCTAGAAAACATTCCTAGGCCAAAGTTACAGAGCAGAAACTGAGAGCAGACTAAGGCCTACTCTATAATTAAAATGTATGTCAAAAGAGCTGTGGTACTCAGAGGTGTGAAAAATCCACACCCCTAAGCACTGTAGCCATACTGACTTAACCCCCAAATGCTTCCGCCAGCCTAAGTACTGTTGTTTAAGGAGGTGATACTCCTACAATAATGGAAAAATCCCTTCTTTTGCTGTAGGCTGTGTCTACGCTACCATGTTATACCAACATATTATATAGTTCCTGTAGCGCAGACACGGCCCCAGGTCTTTCACATAGTATTGTGGAACATTTATCACTTTTTTTTCCCTAAAACTGTACTAAAGACTTAGCTTTGCAAAGTGCTAAGTGAAAAGCAAGACACGAAGTTGTGAAACTACAAATTTTGAGTCCCTTTTCAGTTTCATAACTGCTACAATATTACTAGGCACTGGTCCAAATTAACACAGGCAAGCTGCCTTTGCTTTAATAAGTTTCTGAATCTTTACAAATTATGCTAAAATGTTATATGATCTGGACGAAAATGCAGGGTAAGATATGAGTTCATGCATGGGGGTGGGGATGGTAAATTACTAAACTGATGTTTGAAGCGTGAAGGTACAGTTTTAATGCAGTTAAGTAGACATTGTCAGACTTGAAAAAAATCCACTTCCATTTGATATTTTTGTACTTAGATACTAGAAAAACAATTACAGGGGAAAAAAGAGTTTTCATTTGGCATTTTATGAATAGCTAGTTTCACTGTTTTGTCAGTTGCATCGCTTTCATGAACTGCTCAAAGTGTATACCTGTAGCTCTAACAGTATGTTTACAAGTAACAGCAGTGAATAAGCAGCAACTGAAGAGATAGTAGGCAGGTGTGTGCACAGAGAAAGAGGGTGCTTGGTGGTGCTGCTACCAGGCCCAACCAAAAGCAGAACAGAAAAGCTGGCTATACACAATCTTCTCAAGGACACTTAAAAAAACCCCAAAAGTTAGCACATGCTATTTAAAAGGTGATCAGAATTTAAAAAAAAAAACAAAAACAAAAACAAAAACACACTAGTGCATTTTAAAAAATTAAGTTGACAGCATCCCTTCCACTTTTGTTTATTGATTAGAACATACTGCAACTTTGACAATCCACTATTAATGAAGCATTAATTTCATTTAAGAATATTTATTTTACTTACCTCAAAAAGATAATCCCCTATGTATTGCACAGGATAATATGGAGCCTCAAAGAGATGTTTCTCTCTCTCTATGCTGACACTTTTATTATCAGTGAATACATGAGTAACAGCTCTCACTTCCTTTTGTGGTGGATATATAATTGCCTTTCCAGCTTCTAGAACTCTTAAATAAATAATAATATTAATAATAATAATAATAATAATAGTTTAAAATATGTATTTACTGTAAATTTGTTTTAAAAGTATTCTTTAATGTTCACAAGCTACAATGCACCCAAAATTAACAGAAAATGGGCAGGTATGAAGTCACACTTCCTTCCTTAGCAGGCTAACTGAGCACTTCAGAGCCCTGAGATAAGTACGTAACCCAACTAGATAGAACTGTCTTCTCAGTTTAGAAGAGAATACTAATTTTCTTCATCTTTTAGGAAGGTTCTACAAGTGCATTTTTATAAAGATCAAAGTTAGTATTACAGTAACTATGGTTTATTGCAATACAGCTCAAGAGAATTAGTGGATCTTTATCTAAATAAAGAGGGATTTACTGAAAATGGGGAATTGTTTTCCTTACCTGTAAATTGGAACTTTCATAAGATATACCTACACTGCAGGAATGACTCCACAGCAGTACAGTTAGTCACACCTAATGTAATACCCAGACAGCTCAGTTAATGTTTCTGGCCTGCTACCTGTAATTGTTTCCCCATACACAACTTCAAAAAGGTATACTGCTGCAATTTATACTTCTAAGAAAAGATCACCTACTTTTATCTCTCTCTCTCTCACACACAAGCTAAGTTAGTCATAATTGGAGAAAAGCAGAAGAGAACAAACAAACAAACAGTAGTGTTATGTACAGCTGATAGAGAGAGAAAAATCAATCCTTTTTAAAAGTTACTGGCACCTGTCGGACACTTGACTGAAAGCTATGTTTTCAGAAAGAAAAATATCTGCCTTGCAGTGCTTTTATGCATAAGTAAAGGGATGCCCAGATTGTTGTATGGTAATGTCTTGGGAAAAAATACAGATTCCCCGATGCACACAACTCCCAGTTCATTTGTCTTGCTGATGTAGTTGCTATTAAAGGTTATTTTCATTCTTAACAAATAGGGATTTGCAGAACCAGGTTAAGATTCCAGCGAGAGAACAGAATGTCTTTCAGAAATGCTGCAGGATGTATGTACCCAGACACTGAGGATGAGGGAAGAAAACTTGTCTCATTTTGTAAAGAGCACCTTAGTTGGCAAGCTAAAAGGAGGGGTAGTCAGCTGTGTCTCGCTGGGACAGCAACAAAGAAAGAGGAAGTGGAACAATGATAACTTGTAGTGGAATGCTAAAGCCACAGGTCAGGAATAGTGGTTGTTTACTTTCCCTGACAAGAAGGAAATTGGCTTGTATATATCCTCTGCCATTAAAGCAATACTTAACACATTTTGCTTGAGAAGGGCACAGGACAGCTCAGTTTCCCCCTGCCAAGAAAGAAGAAACCATATACAACTTAATAAACTAGATGTTAATGGTTCTCTCTAACCCAATGCATTTCCTTGCCTTCCTTACAATTTCTGTAATTTTGGATGGATCATTCCAAGTATGTTTTCAGAAGATGTTGTACCTGCTTGGTCTCTCCCTCCATCCAGAGAGGGAACAACAAAGAGAACAAAAAACAAATCCTCCCCACCCACAGATTTGAAAGTATCTGCTTTTCTCATTGGTCCTTCCGGTCAGGTGCCAACTAGGTTATTGAACTATTTAACCCCTTCCAGGTAAGGCACTTCAGTACACCTGCCAAGGAGGGATTTTATGCTACTCTTTCCTTTATATTTATGACAGCATCTCAGAACTCAGGTTTCAGAGGAACAGCCGTGTTAGTCTGTATTCGCAAAAAGAAAAGGAGTACTTGTGGCACCTTAGAGACTAACCAATTTATTTGAGCATGAGCTTTCGTAGTGAGCTGTAGCTCACGAAAGCTCATGCTCAAATAAATTGGTTAGTCTCTAAGGTGCCACAAGTACTCCTTTTCTTTTTGCATCTCAGAACTAGGTCTTAAAATATTAAAGAAGACCAGGTTTGTTTTAAAACAGAAAGTGGGATAGAAGTGGCTAGAGATCCCAAAAGGCCAACGGAGCACTTTTAAACTCATTTTTTCCTTCAGTCCCTTCTCCTCCCATCCACTCCTTTATCATCTCTGTCCCCTTCCTTTTGAATCTTCCCTATTTACCATGATGCAAGTAAGTTTTTGTGTTTTTTCAGTTCTGAGGCTGCAGCAGTGTACCACTGGGGAGCTGCTGCATGACTGTGACACAAAAAAGGCCCAAGTCAGTCAGAATGTGGCTTTACAATATGTCGAACCATACTTACCATATTATTTCACTCTTACCTATGAGACAGTCTTGTTTTCCTCTAGGATTGCCACTCTCATATAATAAAAGACAAGTTGCCATCCCAGAGAAAAGGGGGGTAGTTTCACAATAGACTAAGATCACCACAGATCTAACTGTATTCCTTGCCCTTTTATCACACATCCCGCCTCTCCAAGTTCAACATGAGCATTTAGGCATTATAGTTTTGGGGGAGGAGGGGTCCAAAAATAGTGAGGGGAAAAACGTGGAACTAGACCAAGATGCCCTTATTTTAAAAATAATAATAATGGAACAGTTAGTAATGGAACAGTTTAATGGTATTTTCATATCTAAACATTTATCAAAGTTAACAAAATGCTAGATACATAGTAGACTGTAACATACAACTCAAAGAAAGCTTCATTACACAAATGAAATATGATTCTGGACATTTCATTTCAGTACCACAGAAAAATAAAAGAATGCATGAACTCTGAGCATATGAGCTAAGAACAAATCAGGGTCGGGGCAGAGGAAGTCTTCCTAGGCTATTAATTTAAAATATGCATAAAACCATAAGTGCTATAGTTAACAATGTGGTAATAGTACTAAGTAAAAAGAAACTAAACTGGAAGAGAAAAACCAACAATTTTTACTGTTCCAACTATTATAAATATGTGGAACAGTATGCCATGCAGACTAAAGCACTGGGAGTTGTTGCGGACCAAATTAATTGGGATGGGAGAGGGAGAACAACAATGTAATTCAGCTATATCAACTACTTTATCATTCATTATTTCAACTTTAAGTAGTATCATCCTACCTTGTGATAGAATCCCTTCGTTTATCACCTTCTTTCACAAGGAGGATAACTTTCCATCTGTGGAAGGCCCCTAAAGCACCAGAGCATGTTAGTTCTTCGCGCCATCTTTTAGGTGCAGATTGCATTTGAGGTGAATAATGGGAGCCTTTTTCAATTTTATATCCCCATTCGTAAGTTGTTTCATCAAGCCATCTGCCACTTTCAACACTATTAATTATGTAGTCCTTAGTTAGTATCCACTTTCCTAGAAAGCAAATTAACTGTTAGCCACAAAAGATTTTTTTGTACAGACAAATGGCAAATGAAGATCAAATATAAAATTAACTTCAAGCTCTCTCATTCAAATACCACAGTACATCTTTAAGTAACATTTCGAACAATTTTTCTTTCTACTCCAAAAGTTCTCCTTTCCTAATATTTTAACATCAGAATTGCGCAAAGTCACTGGACATGGTAGTTTTGCTTTCTTCTAATGACATAGTATCCTCAAGCTCTTCCAGAATAAACTAATCCCAGACAAAAGAACAATCATGATATTAATTTGCCTCTCTAGATTTTGCTCCTGTGTCTTTTGTCTCAGTATCAACTTAGCCTTAGTATTCGTATATGATGTTTTACAATACACTGTAAAAATAGATTTCCTGACTGTGAACATTCTGTGAACTCAGAGAAAATGCAACAACTCTGTAAAATCACCTTTATGAATAATCTGTTTGGATGTACAAATAAAGGCATCCCATGCTAGTTTCTTATTTGAAGCCATAAATACCGGTACCACCAGCTAACAAAACTGTCTAAATTTCTGCATACTAAAAGCACAGCATAGTTCATCCCTAAACTCTGAAAGTCTAGACATTTCTAATTGTGTAAGTTTAGTGGATACCAATATTAGGGGGAAACAATTTTAGACTAGTACTCCTTTCCACATCCTTTCCCCTCCGTTGGCCTCACCTCCTCTTTCTCTTTCTGTATGTAAAGATCCTCCCTCTTTTCTAAATGTCTGTCTTTTCAGGTTCAGATCAGGAGTTGTGGTCCTCTTGTATTGAAACACTGCTTACTGCATACATTAAGTGAACCTGTGTGATCCTAATCAATTTCTCAGAACAGCAGGGTTACTGGTAAAATGCATCAGTGCAAGAGCACAGATGGTACTTCTAAAGGAGATAGCACTGGGTGTGGACAGCTAATAGAAAGACACAAAGGTGCTCTGTACATAACCTATAGCTTAATAAACCCTTTGTCACCAATTCCTACTCAATAGGTTCCACGTAATTAAAAATCCATCCACATTGGTATGCTTGCTGGAACTCTCAGGGTGAGGACAAATACTGAAGGGGATTAGAATCTACTGAATCTAACCACACTCTCACTACAGTTTTACCAAGAAAAGGTGGTGGACATGCATGTCTCCCTCCCCGCCCGCAACACCAAAAAAACCCCAAAACTGTGCCTAAGGGCAATATTCAGCAATATTGGACATTACTAGGGAATGATTATGGGTAAAACTAAAAAGGTGGGAATCATACTTAGTGTTCTTTGGAAGATATATTGTGTCAATGTGAACTAGTGGTGGTAACAAGACCAAAATGCAGTTTTGCATCACTTTATCCTTTATGGATAGGGCCCTACCAAATTCATAGCCATGAAAAACACATCACGGACCGTGAAATCTGGTGTCCCACCATGAAATCTGGTCTTTTGTGTGCTTTTACCCTATACAATAGGGATTTAATGGGGGAGACCAGCTTTTCTCAAATTGGGGGTCCTGACCCAAAAGAGAGTTGCAGGGGGCTGCAAGGTTATTTTAGGGGGGTTGTGGTATTGCCACCCTTCTGCGCTGCCTTCAGAGTTGGGTGGCCAGAGAGCAGAGCTTTTGGCCCGGTGCTCAGTTCTGAAGGCAGTGCCCCACCAGCAGAAGCAAGGATGGCAATATTATACCATGCCACCTTTACTTCTGTGTTGCCTTAGCTTCCATCCAGGACAATCACATGATCCATTGTCTACAGCCAAGCCCTAAGATACAACAGCATTTGCTCCAATCCCTCGGACAGAGGCAAAGAGCTACAAGATCTTTATCAAGAATTATTAACTACAATACCCACCGGGGGAAGTGAGGAAACAGACTGACAGAGTGTGACGGATACCCAGACATCACCTACTACAGGACAGGCCCAACAAGGAAAACAACAGAACACCACTGGCCATCACGTACAGCCCCAAACTAAAAACCTCTCCAGCATATCAGCGATCTTCAACCTATCCTGGAAAACGATCCCTCACTCTCTCAGACGTTGGGAGGCAGTCCAGTCCTCGATTACAGACAGCCCCCAAACCTGAAGCAAATATTCACCACAGAAACACTATCCAGGAACCAATCCCTGTAACAAACCCTGTTGCCTACCCTGTTCCCACATCTACTCTTGGGACACCATCAGGAGACCCAACCACATCAGCCACACTATTAGGGGCTCATTCACCTGCACATCTAATAATGTGATATATGCCATCATGTACCAGCAATGCCCCTCTGCCATGTACATTGGCCAAACCAGACAGTCTCTATGTAAAAGAATAAATGGACACAAATCAGACATCAGGAATGGTAACATACAAAAGCCAGTAGGAGAACCCTTCAATCTCCCCGAACATTTAATCACAGATTTAAAAGTAGCCATCCTTTAACAAAAAACTTCAAAAACAGACTTCAAAGAGAAACTGCAATGCTACAATTCATTTGCAAACTTAACACCATTAATTTGACTTGAATAGGGACTGGGAGTGGCTGGCTCACTACAAAAGCAATTTTCCCTCTCTTGGTATTGACACCTCCTGATGAATTATTGGGAGTGGACATCCACCCTGACTGAATTGGCCTTGTCAACACTGGTTCTCCACTTGTAAAGTAACTCCCTTCTCTTCATGTGCCACTATATTTATGCCTGCATCTGTAATGGTCACTCCATGCATCTGAAGTAGCGGATTTTTTTTTACCCACGAAAGCTTATGCCCAAATAAACCTGTTAGTCTCTAAAGGTGCCACTGGACGCCTCACTGTTTTTGTGGATACAGACTAATATAGCTACCCTTCTGATATTTTCACCTTGTCTCTTCCTGCCGTTTTGGTGGTTTAGTTGTCCTTTTGGGGGGGGGGGGGGGTTGGGGCGGGGGGTGTCCTTACCTACAGAAGCCTCATGGAGAGGTATGATGTGCAAGAGATCTTCCTGAAATATCCCTGACAGAGTTCCCTTTATGCTGGGATGGACAATAATTTTCGCAGGGGGGGCCACTCCACGTATTTTGATAAGTTGTCATGGGCTGCATATTTCTACTATATTAATGGAGGAGATGCTCCAGGCTGGTGCAGAGCGTTGGTGTGCAGGAGAGGGTGAGGGGTGTGGGCTCTGGGAGGGAGCTTTGGTGCAGGAGGGGGTTCTGACCTGGGGCAGGGGGTTGGGGTGTGGGAGGGGGTGCAAGGTGCAGGCTGCACCGTGGGACTTTTAGCAGCCCGGAATCAGAGATCGCAAGGGGGCAGAAGAGGCCAGATGGAAATGTTAGTCATGGCAGGCCGGACAGAAATGTTAGACAGGCCAGATCCAGCGCATGTGCCGTGTTTTGCCCATCCCTGCTTTACACTATTACCTCAGGGGGAAGAATCTGAGGGGAGCCACACAGAGATTAAAGAGAGGGAGTGGCTCCCCCTCTTCTGCTAAAAGCAGGGAAAGCTCCTTCTCCATTCCCTGGCTTATGCAAGGAGCACTTCCTTGCAGCTGCTCCTGCTCAATTGGTTGGTGAGAGCTGCTCACCCTGTTTTCAATGTATTTTAACCACCCAGGGTGTGGAGATGGGAAAGGATGAGGATTTCCAGCATTAAGAGACTTATCAAGACCCTGTGCTCACAGAGAGGGAGCCATCTGCATGGATGCACTACAGCCAATCCCTAATAGTCTAAAATCATGAGTCACATGTCAAGAAAGATGAATTAAAATCTGGGATTTGTTTTCATTTCCCATCAAGTTTTTAATCTTTAGATGGAAGCCACCTGTACCCTAAGTCTGATTATTTTCATGCTCAAAATCTAATGTGACAAGCACATGTGAAATGTGAGTATCCCTGCTAGCTTCTGAGAGAGAACTTAAAAAACATTCCTAAGCCCTAGAGTGGAGTAGCTGCCATCCTTTCCCTGTCCATCCCCATACTTTATTGCTATCATTACTCGGGAGGGAAATTCTGTGTCACTGCGCATGCGCAGAATTCATGACCCCCGCAGATTTCTTTGCTTCCCCGCAGAAAAATGACTTCTGAAGGCTGGGAAGTCATGTGTGAGAGACAGACAGATACTCTGTCCCTCTTGCTTACTATTGTGGCGCCCTCAGCATGGACGGGCAGGGCTTTGGGGTGTTTCTGGGGAAGTAGGCGTGAGGCAGGCTCTGTCCCCTCAGGCAGAGCAGAATGTAACAGCCTGCCTTCTTAGTTAATTGTTCCCAGTGTTCTTAGTGAATTCCCAAGGAGTATAAAAAAGTGTTAAAATTTTAAGGCTCCTTTACATTGCCAGAGTGGTGTAAAGGATCTTGATCGTAAAGGACAGTGTGGCCGTATAAATGCTTATGGTGCTTTACTGATTAGAACTGGTTTATATTTTTGGACTGAATTTTTTTTTTTAATCAAAATGTGCTCCATGAACTGTTTGCTACTGACCTTTCTGGAGATCGTTAGTAGCCAATATAAATTGCAAGTTTGAGTCCCCAGCCCTCACTTGTACTTCAGTTGCCTATGATGTAACACTGAGCGTATGGCTGCATATTTTTGTTGACTAAAGGGTCAATACTAGCTCCATTACTATTAGACAGAAGGGGGTTGGGGATTTCCTCCAATGCTCCCCACTCCCATTCTTCATCCATTGTATTGTAGTTTAAACAAATTACCAGAATTATTGAAACCAGCAGGATTATACTGCATTATTTTAACAAATAAAATTTGCAGAATTTTAAAATATTGTGTGCAGAATTTTTAATTTTTTGGTGCAGAATTCCACCAGGAGCACTATCCTGCTTCTTTGCTTTCTACATCTCTCTCCTTACACAACCCAGTTTTTCCTCCCCACTTCATATTCCACAGTGTCTACCCCCTCGTTGCCCCCATTATTCCCTCCTTGCCCTTTACAAGATCCACCATTACTATTTTCCCTCTCTGCTTCCTCCGCACTCTCTTAGCCTCTTCCTGATCTCCACACTACCTTATCCTAAC